AACAATGGACCCGCAGGATCCAAACCTACACGAACAAGACAAACGTCAATTGAATATATAGTTCATATTTAGCATTAAGCAGGAATAAATATAGGTTTTTGTCATGTTCAAGGAATTTGCTGAGAAGATCTTCGAGTTTAAAGTCTTTTTTATATTTTTATAACACCATTGATTAGTGAGACATTCACAATGCTGACAAGACTGTCTCACCAGTAATTCTTCCCAAGGTTTTCCCAGACACAGCTAGGTTACTCCCAGCAAACCCAGATATATGAGCTCCAAGGCTGTAACCAATCAAATGCACTTTTCCTAAAGGGACTTGTTTAAAATCCTGTTAGGGATACTCACATATTAATGCCATGTAGTAAGTGTTTTTAAATATCTTTGTTTGTCGTTAGCAAACAAAGATATGTACACTACATTTAAAGGGGTCATATGATGTGATTTCAATTTTTCCTTTCTTGTAAAAATCGACGCGTTTCAGAAAGGCGGGGCATAGAGGAGAGTACAGTATGTACAGTATGTGGAAAATAATGTGTTTTTTTAACCTTAAACCGCATAAACACATTTCATTACACCAAATACACCAAATAATGTTCTTTTTAGCAGCATCATATGATCCCTTTAATTTATTCAGCTAGTATGCATTAAATTGATCAACCATGACATTATACAGGCATTTATAATGTTACAAAAGACACTACATGTTGGAATGCTGCCTGTGAGGCTATTAGCCCTGACAGCACTGATGATAATAAGAAATGTTTCTTATGCATTAAATCAGCATATTAGAATGATTTATGAAGGATCATGTGACACTGAAGACTCGCCTTTGAAATTCACCTTTGCCATCACAGGAATAATTTTTAATTTTTTTAAATGTTATTTTAAATTGTAATTGTAAATTGTTTTTACAGATTTTTTATATCAAGTAAATCAGAGCATAAGAGACTTCTTTTAAAAACATTTTTTTTTAAAAACCACCGACCCCAAACCCCTCTGCATTCTACTGAAAGTCAATCAGTTCCATATATGATGTAAGGATGGTAGTATTTATTCCCTTGGGGAATAAATTCTGCATCCATAACTGTAAGGAGATTTGTATTCCCAAACTAACCCTCACCTCTAGCCATCTCAGCAGGTGGGCAATGTCCTGTCCCACAATGCGTGTGTTCTGCACAGCTATAGGGTAGTGCTGGTGTGCCAGAGTCAGCCAATCTGCAATCACTACATTGATGCTTCCCTCTGAGCTCTTTAGTGCTGATGCCAACCTGGAAATCCAGTTCTCCATCATTCCGTCCACCTACAGCACAGGGAGGAGGATTTTTTTTTTTTTGGATGAGCCTACTGCAACATGCATCACATCTCATAGTTTTGTCAATTTTGCCTTTACCAGATTAGAAATAACTCTGCTTAGCTGTTTGCAATCCATGCCAAGGTCTTCACGACCTTTTGTACATTTGAACTATTGATCTCTTTTTCTATTAAATCAATGAACTCAACATACTGACCCGCCATGAATGATGATAGCCAGAGGATGGCTGCTATTGAAACCACAAGCGTCCAGTGTGTGAGGCTTGAAGAGCTCCACTGTGCATGTATCATCTATGTTGCTGTCAGTGTAAAGCCTGAAGACTGATTTAGGTTTATAGGACATCTTCATCCTCTCTCCAGTCTCAGTGTCTGTTAGTATGGTCATACACAAAAACTGAGGTTCACAGACAGTTCATTATTGTGGTGGCCATGTTGTAAATTGATGAAGTTACATCATTGTAGGTTGTACAATAGTCCTGGGATATTTATATCTTTGCATAAGCAGCAATGCAAACACCTTGCATTGAAATGAAGTTATAAATGAAAATAAGATAGAGGCATGCTTAGATCATATTGAAGTTGAGTCAAGGCAAATAAAATGTTTACCCATCACTCTTGCCGATTAAATGAGCATGTGGAGAGTTGGATATGGCACGTCGAATTTCTCAATTGCATAGAGCATTTATTGCATTAACATATGTAACTTAAAATTTTACATGAAACTCACTATTGTACCCATGAGTTTATCACATCTTTGATGGATGTCTTGAAAAAAAACTAAAGCCAGATGAGATTCCTACTATTTGACCACCTGTTTTAATGTTTTCCTATGCAAAAATTTATTTTAAAGGGACATGTGGTTCTGTCTCTGCATACATTGACTGAGGAATTGATCTCTCTGCCAGGTTAGCAGTTAAACATTATATGAAAGGTCAGAAAACCCAAGCGTCTAAAAAATCTGAACCTGAAATCTGAGTTAATATGACACAAATGTTCCTTTTAAGTGTCTATTGTTGTTTTTTATCTAAGATAAATGATAATGATAAACTTCAAATAAAGTTTTAACCTCACATTCTGATTTAGCTTATTTAGCAGTGATGTAATATTTGCATGTAAAAAATGTGCATGTTAAGCAAGGGCAGTGTGTGAATGTGAAGGTATTTATTTTTCAGCTTTGAAACACAGCCTAGCACTTTATTTCTAGAACATTATTTACTACAAGCTTTTGCCATTTACATCAGCAGGAATGAGACATAGTACAATTAATGCTGACTGTTATTGCAAATCCATATCATCCATAATATTTTAATTTAACAAGGAGCATCAGTAGCACCTCCTGCTTACCTCCACACATACTATACTGTTTTTCTCTGCAAGAATATTTCCACTAAGCTTAATTGTGAACCACACAAAAGATATATTGAGGAATGTTTCAACTGTTTTTGTTTATGCAATGCAAGTCAGTATACCTCCAATACACTGATAGACCACTCAATATAAAGAAGAAAGGAAGCCATACAGGATTGGGACAACTTGTGGAAGAGTAAACAACAAAATATTTGGGTGCTCTATACCTTTAAAATTATCTTCTGAGAAACAGTGAAGCACTTTATTCACCAGGGTATACATGCACTATATGTTATATTGTGACAGAATGTGGTTCACAATTAAGCTTAGTGGTGTAAGGGAATTAAAAAATTGAATTATACCTTTAAGATACTTTGAGTTACCCGAAATTTCCTTCCATCAGTCAGTTGAGAGATTATCAGACAGCAGGACACTATTTTAATAAGAAACTTCATGTTCAGGCCACTTCAGGAGCCCACACAGGTCATCCAAATATTTCCTCCTTTTAAGAGACCACTGTGAGTTAGGTGAT